CCTGTCTTCCTTCTCTCACCCCAACCAATCACAGCAGATGGCCCCGCCCCTCCCTGAGCCTGGTTCTGCCGGAGGTTTCTTCCTGTTAAAAGGGAGTGTTTCCTTCCCACTGTCGCCAAAGTGCTGCTCATAGGGGGTCATATGATTGCTGGGTTTTTCTCTGTATTTATGAAGCGCCTTGAGGTGACTTTTTTTTGTGATTTGGCGCTATATAAATAAAATTGAATTGAATTGAGCATAGACATATATTAATGGTTTGTTGCCATTTCGCAGTATACCAAAAGACAAAAAGGCCTTTTAACCCTCAGTACAACATCACTACTAATACATGTCACATATTAGTTATTTAAACAGGAATGATTAAATATATTTGCCATACTATAAATAAATATATATAAATACTACATCTATAGATAACAACAACAATTAATACATGTATTGTTTAATTAATAAAACATCAGAAAGTGATAAAAACACATTAGAAATAGCAATAGCTTCATAACAGACCAATAAATCAAGGCATTTTCATCAGCAGATGTTTGCATGTTCAGTAAAAGTATTTCAACAACAAGTTTTTGATTAAAATGATCAATGAACTTCAGCGTTATGTAAGTTTCATGTTGGACTCATGGTCCTTTCTTAGTCCAGTTTAGGATAATGTCTCTGACGTATGTATCATATCAAATATATGTCATATCAAAACAAGCCCACACCTGCAGTGGTTTCAGTTTTTCACAGGTGTTTCCTGTCAGCTGGTCAACCTCACTCAGGGGGACATCCATATTAGCCAACCAAATGACACGCTCCTCCCTTTGTGCTTCAAACTCCTCCCACTCTGAGACAAGGAGCTGAGAGAGAGAGAAAAGAGTCAATTATAAAGAAGAGAGAAAAGTGAAACCCTCCTCAGTAGGTCTGACTCGCATACCTGCAGTCGACCTGCGATGGACTCCAGTTTGGCGTTCACTTCATCCCAGTGGCGGCCACACTCCCTCGCCAATGCCAGCAGCCGAGTCTGCAGGGTGCCCTGGAAGAGCCGAGTTAATGTTTGACTCCTCCTGGCCAGGCTCTCCAGCTGGATGAGCCGAGGTCTCCCCTCACGCCGCTGCCTCTGAACACACAAACACAAATTGCATTTTTGCTATTCTTTTCTAAATCCAGGCTTGATCACGTGGAGGTATTTGGAAAACTGTTTTGGCCAGCGGACAACTGTTGTCTTGCAGAAAGTCAAATCTGTTTTCAAGGCACAACTTGGATCTGCTGTACAAATCTTATGGATACACACTAAATGAAACAGTAGTGTGCACGACTCCAGATTCTGATCCCTCATCCTAACAGGGTTCCAAATGGCTCACAAAAACCCACATAGCAAATGCTGAGGCTTCAAAATACAAAGTCCATAAACCAATGACTGACATGGAATTTATCATAAGGGTGATAAATATACAGATTGGAGTCTGTCTTAGAGATGTGATGTTCATTTACCTGCACATGCACTATACGTGCCTGCTCCGTGGTTTTCCACAATGCTTTGCACATCACTATTTAATACAGGAAGTAGGTAAACTAAAACAGGTCATCTTTCTTTGTGAGAGGACCATATTAATAATGAAAGCAAACCTCAATGACATCATAGAGATCACTAAATATGCTCCTGCTGCTTTTCTTCCTCCTCATCCTAAGCTTCCTTCTCCTTGTCCTGGACTTCCATCCAATTGTAATTCAACCTAATTTTGTTTGTCTCCCTCCGCTTCCTCATTTTGTTGGAGCTGTGAACAGAATTAGTGTGAATCTGGATTAATTTGTGAAAAAAACAAAAATCTACAGCTTTTTGGTCAGAGGTGGTCTTGTGATTTAAGCTGGGTAGATTTATGTGTTGATGCTACCTGCTTCAGCTCTACGACTGGCTGCTGAGTGATATTTACACCGCGGCTGGATTATAAACTTTAACCCCGTGCTCAACTTTGGCCCAGCATTGATACCTCTTGTTAGTATAACGACCTCTTCTTGGCTTAATGTATGATGGTGGATAAATGAAATATGGAAAGAAAATTTAACTATATTACAAAAGAAATCCATCTTGGAAACATCAAATGACCGGAGCATAACTTGTCAACTAGTCCGAAAATAAGTTATGCAGGAACAGTCAAAGACACACCTTCATGCTCTTCCAGAATTCAAAGTACAGGTTCATGCGAGTATTTAATGTAAGGCTCAGCTCAGAGTTTCTAGAGCAGACACAGAGCTCATGTCAAAACAGGCTTCAGGCGCCATTTTAGTGACTTTAACAATATTATAAATTTTAATATCGGTCTAGCTGACATTACGTTATGTACGCAGCACGCAATTGAACCACATATTTTAGAAGCCAAAGTGTTCTAACGTCACTCTCTCTCTACCTGTCATTTGGCTCGAAACACATATTAACAAATTGCTCAGTGATAAACATATACTCAGATCATTTACCTAAGCAGTGCGCTTTGTCAAAACTAAGTAAGTGTGTTGGTAATGAACACATACGTGTGTTCATTACATTGACATTCTGTTGTGCAATTGTTATTTACTTGTATTTTATAATTTGACTTTACATACTGCTGGGTGGTTTGTAAAGTTTACAATAACTAGTATTATCATTATGCTATATTTTCTAATATATATAATAATCTCAAAAGTAATGCCTTGAAGCAGAAAATAGTAATACTTTATTAAAATGTAAAACTAAAATACAATATTTGAATGTGTGCATTGTCTCTCCTGTTTGTTAACTCACCATATTCATAAATGTCTTAATAATAAATTCCATATTCTATCACCACATTATTTGTGATTAGTGGGTTTGCGGGGTTAGGAGTGTTGGGGGTAGGCTCTTTAGGCTTTGGCCCCCACACCTTCCACCAGTATATTTTTAAGTATTTCTAACTTTTATTTGAATATTCAGTTTCCTACCATCTGCTCTTAAAGGGTAATCACCAGGTAACCCACCCTCCCCATTCGCACACACACAAACAAAACACACAAACAAAACACATAGCATAATTCACAGCCTCATTATAGTGAATAAATATTTATGCCATTTTACACCATCAAACTTAGATTGCTAAGGATGAAGAACCTTTTGTTCTTTAAAGAACCATTTGTAATAGCTGAATAACCATCTACAAAATAATAAGGTTCTTTGATGTGTGATGGTTCTTTAAAGAACCATGAAGACATCTGAAGAACCATTAAAGAACCATAGTTTTTTTGGGGGGTACCTGCATTCCTCGTGATGTTCCGTGTTTACCTGTTCCCCCCTCAGGTCCCGATGAATGGTTTGTCCCATTGGATCTGGGTGTGGTGATGAAGGAGGGTGAGGAAGGCACAATTCCCTGCATGGTGTCCAACCCGAACCTCAATGTCTCGCTGTACGAGCGCCCCAGCAGGAGGCTGATAAGCGGGGTGACATATGAGCCGGGGCGTGGCTTCACGGGTCACCTCAATGACACATCATACATGTGCATCGCCACAAACGGAGCTGAGGAGAGGGAGTCGCAGACGTACTACGTCTTCAGCATTATAGGTTTGTGTCTGTCTACCTTCTGATAATGTTTAGTTCACATTTATGCTGAAAGGTTGCCATTCATTCATAAACAAGTCATATTCCTACCTGTCTCCCCTGCTACCTGTATCATTTTTGTGCACCTGCGTATTTCAGTCCCAAAGGTCATGGAGGTGGACCTGACGGTGTCCAGCAGTGTGCTGAAGCAGGGCGAGGTCCTCACAGTAAACTGCACAGTTAAAGACACAGAGATGGTGTTCTTCTCCTGGGGCTTCCCCCGCAGACAGGTACCTGTCTGCCTTCCTGTCTGCTTACCCACCTGTACCTGTCTGTACCTGT